AGCCTCAATAGAGTTGTTTTATTGTGTTACCTGTGCAAGACAAAGGTTTATATATGATTTTTTATCAACAATATCAACTGCCAAGAAGACTACTTAAATCAACTAATGGTGAAAGACAAGTTGCATGTTAGATTGTGTTTTCTCATTTTACAAATTCATTTCCTTGTGTATTAATTGCTACACTCGCCATGATTTAGCTGACCAACTTTTCTTCTGCAGAAAACTGCCAAAAATGGTCTTCACATTCTTCTTGGTGGAATTTGTGCTTTGACAGTTGTTGTTTTCTTCCGCTTTGTAAGTTCTAAAGTACTTATTTTCATATGCTCTCTTGTCTTGAAAATTCAGATTAGATTGGATGTTTTTAATTATGTAGAATTCACAATGACTACTGAGATCAAGAAACCATGAAGATGGGATGCACAGCACAGTGAAGAGTGTTTGAAATACTGAACTCTCCTTTTTCTGATATTTTTAAATATTTTGTGCTTCGGTTTCTGATTTCAAATCTTTTTTGGAATCTTTAACCGATGTGCACTGTTTCATGTATTCTGTTCCCTGTATTTCTGTTTATGTTTTTATAAATCTTTAAATAGAAAATGGACGCATATGAATGCAGAAATCCAAGAACGTTATTTCGGTCAATAGTGAATATGTAGAGCACATGGTAGTTACTCAGCACTTGACATTTCTCGTGGTTTGGTCCTCAGTTTCTCTGTCCACTCCTTTGAAAACTCCAACAAGTAAATTAAGTGTTTATATAATTTTTTCCTACTTTCCTTTATGTCAAAAGATTGAAGAAGATAATATATCATTGAAACCGTATGGAAGAATTTAGTGATCCAATGTGATATATAATAGTACAAACAAACTGAGGTAACCCCACATGGATATGATTAGCTTTTTTGCATTTTGTGACTGAAAATATTTGACTTAAAAATGTTTAGAATATTGGAAAAGGTTGAATGCTATTTGGATGAGAAAGAAATAGAGTTTTCTTGGTATGAAGTGTGTTCATTACTCATCTTTCATTGACAGTTTTGAAGTTTTTACAATGCATCTATTTTGGTAATTTAGTAGTTGAAGTAAAGCTAGTGAATTTTTAAGGTTTTGTTTCTCTGTTCTTTAGCATTATAATAAAAATGCAACACGTTACTTTGATGTAATTATCTAATTTAGTTCTCTCTTTTATATCTATTATTGTTTTCCATTTTGTCTTTTGTGGCCTTGGTATTTGTTAGTTTGATTCCTTCCCTTTAATATACCCAGTCTTTGCTCACAATTCTGTGAACTGGTGCATATATTTTGGCAGGCTGTAATTATAAGTTTGATGAGCATTGCATTAAACATTCATCTTTTTTGCCCCCTAGAATTTCTGCATTTTGAGCCGTTATGCTGGCCTTTAGGTTTTGAAATTTGGTGACTTCATATGTTTGTTTTTTTCTCAGTTCTTGGATTCCAGTCATTCAGGCAATAAACAAATCCACATTTCCATTATACCCTTTTTCGCCAACAAAGAAGTAATGTTGTTTAAATTGTGAATCATGGACTGTTTGTCTGAAAGATTATTTTCGAATATGTTACTGTTTACTTTTTCATAATTTCCTATCGTGCAATAAATTTCATGCGTATATGTTTCTGCTTGGGGAGGACAATATTTTTTTTTGGTTCACTTAATATATTTCTAGCTTGACATTTATGAGAAATCATTTTCTATTGTATTTTTATGCTAATAATTTTCCCTCATGCAGTTTGTGCTGACAAGATTCAAGTATGGACCTGCACGATACTGGGCAATTTTGTTCATCTTCTGGTTTCTTGTGTTTGGGATATGGGCGTCTAGAACCCACAGTGCTCATGCAACATGATTCCTTTTCCTTTCTTTTTCCGTTTTAAAGAGAACTCGATGCACATATACAGTATTTTCTTGAACCGATTTATCTATCAGTTAAGCGAAATAATACTTTATATAGGTGTATTTAGTGAAAATATGATTTGTGTACGGTTTGTTGTACTTGCTCGTTCATAGAACAAGCTTCTCGTAGGAGGCTTGGGGTGATATGTGGCTGTCGAACTATAAACCTGTGTTAGTTATTACTATAATGTTGTTAAAGATGACTTATTTCTATGTATGAGAATTTTATTTGATTTTGTTTACTGTGGTACTGTTTCGCGTGTGGTTACTCGCTAACAATTAAAAGAGGATCAGACGATTGTGTAAGGGACAAATCTCTTGGAACAAAGTCCCAAAAATGGGTGTTTATCGAATAAGAAGATTACAGTTTGGATACGAACAAGATGCTTTCAAGGGACGCAAGCACACAAGTACAAGGAGACGAATTAATTAAAGTTAATCTAAGAAAAAGTAAATTACATATTCTCTATTTGAGAGTGAATTTTGTTGGGGATTTCTTCATTACTTTCCTTTTCCTTTTATATTCCTTGGGCAGTTCTTAACCGCTTGGACTTTGGTTGTAACTACCCATTTCTTTCATAGTGGCTGGCTGGCCAATAACTACTATTTGTAACTCTTACCACCACGTTCTCTTCATAATCGCTTGTCACTAACTTTCTCAAATCGTGGGATATAATTGTGATGTGGTCAAACCGCCTCAAATCGTGACTTTACTGAATCTCTTTCGTTCAATACCATGGTCCACATGGTAACTCTCAAACTTTCATCCAGCAACTACTTGCTTTGGAAGAGTCAGTTGGTTCCGTTGCTTGACTGTCAAGACTGTCTTGGTTTTGTGGATGGTTCTCTCCCCAAGCCTTCTCCTACCACCACCGATGGTTCTTCCACTCCTAACCCCAAGTTTCTTGAATGGAAACTCAAAGACCAACGCATCCTCAGCCTTCTTCTCTCTTCTCTCTCTGAAGAAGCCATGGCCGAAGCTGTTGGTCTCACAACTTCTCGGGATGTCTGGGTTGCACTGGAACGTGCTTTCAGTCACGCTTCCAAAGCTCGAGAGATACGGATCAAGGATGAACTTCAGTTGATGAAGAAAGGAACCAGAACTGTTGCTGAATATTCTCGGGCTTTCAAAGCTCTCTGTGATCAGCTAATGGCTATTGGACGCCCAGTCGACGACGTCGACAAATCTCACTGGTTCTTACGTGGTCTCGGCACCGAGTTCTCTGCCTTCTCTTCTGCACAAATGGCCCTCACACCGCTGCCCTCCTTCCATGATCTTGTTCCCAAAGCTGAAAGTTATGATTTATTTCAAAAATCACTAGAATCTCCTTCTATGTCTTCTGCAGCTTTTACAGCAACTCGTGGACGTGGTAATGGCCACTTCCGCCACAATGGAAACCGCCGCTCTCAAGGACATTCCAATGGCCGCCATAATGGTCAGTCCACAGGATCTGGACGTGGTCGGCGCTCCTACACCCCACGGTGTCAAATTTGCAAAACTGAAGGCCATATGGCTGACAAATGCCGCAACCGATATGATCGCAATGAGCCATCCGCACAGCTTGCTGAAGCTTTTCAGGCTGGTTGTTCTCTTTCTGAAGGCTCCATGTCCGACTGGTACCTTGACACCGGTGCCTCTGCCCACATGACGCCAGACTCAACTGGCCTTGACTCCTCCAAGCCTTATGCTGGTAAGGATAGTGTTATTGTAGGGAATGGGGCTTCTCTGCCTATTACCCACACGGGTACCCTCTCTCCTTCTCCCAACATTCAATTACTTGATGTTTTAGTGGTCCCACGTCTAACCAAAAATCTTTTGTCCATCAGCAAGTTAACTTCCGATTATTCCCTCTCTGTTACCTTTACTGATTCCTGTTTTACCATTCAGAACAAAGCAACAGGAAAGGTGGTGGCAACTGGACGACGTGATGGTGGTCTTTATGTACTGGATCGTGGCACTGCAGCTTTTGTTTCTGTCCTTAATAATTCCTCTCTACGTGCTTCGTATGAGTTATGGCATGCACGCCTTGGACATGTAAACCCATCTATTATTTCTTTATTAAATAAAAAAGGACAGCTTTCCCTTACTTCTTTATTGCCTACTCCGTCTATTTGTTCTACTTGATTATGGCATGCACTCCTTTGACATGTAAACCCATTTATTATTTCTTTATTAAATAAATAAGGACAGCTTTCCCTTACTTGTTTATTGCCTACTCCGTCTATTTGGTCTACTTGCCAACTTGCTAAGAGTCATAGAATTCCTTTTTCCACAAGTGATAGTCGGGCCTCTTCTATTTTGGGCCTTGTTCATTGTGACATTTGGGGGCCATCCCCGGTGAAATCTAATATGGGCTTTGTTTATTATGTCTTATTTATTGATGATCACTCACGGTTTACATGGCTTTACCCTATGAAATTAAAATCTGATTTTTTTGCCATTTTCAATCAATTTCAAACATTTGTGGAAAATCAATACTCTTGCAAGATTAAAATTTTTCAGAGTGATGGTGGTGCTGAATTTCGTAGCACTCGCTTTCAATCTCAACTCCGTTCTTCAGGCATTCATCATCAAATGTCTTGCCCCTACACCCTTTCACAAAATGGTCGCGCCGAACGCAAACATCGCCATGTGACTGAAATGGGTCTTGCCCTACTCTTTCATTCACATGTTCCTACTCGATTTTGGGTTGACTCTTTCTGTACGGCCACCTATATCATCAACCGGTTGCCCACACCTCTCCTTGGAGGTATTTCTCCCTTTGAAATTTTGCATGGTAAGGCTCCTAATTATCTTAATTTTCATCCTTTTGGTTGTCGTGTCTATCCATGTTTACGTGACTATTCGCCTAATAAATTTTCTCCCCGTAGTATTCCTTGTATCTTTCTCGGCTTTAGTCCCTCCTACAAAGGTTTTTGCTGCCTTGACCCGCTCACCTCTAGGATTTACATCACTAGACATGCCCAATTTGATGAGACTCATTTTCCTCACTTACATACCTCTCAAGCCAAGCCCATGTCCTCTCTTGATTTTTCAAATTTTTTTGAACCACGTAACGTTTCCTCTCCTACACCCACCCAGCCTACTATGCCCTCAATACCACTATCCGATCCATCTAGTTCTCAGACCAGCACCACCACATGCCGCTTATGCCCTGATGATTTTTCTGAGTCTATGCAGGTTCCAGTCGAGTCCCCTTCTGCTGTCTTGGTGCCTTCAGCTCAGCACCCTTCCCCTATGCAGCCTTCTGCGCCCACACCTGGATCTGAACCTTCTGCTCCGACCCATGATGATTCTTCGGCCCATCTTCGGTCCCTTCCTTCTCATTCTATGATCACCAGAGCCAAAGCAGGTGTTTTTCGACCCCGTCATCTGGCATATCTCAGCCATCACACCTCTGGTCTTCTCCATGCTCTGCTCACCTCCTCTGAGCCTAAAGGTTTCAAGTCTGCTGCTAAAAATCCTGCTTGGCTTGCAGCTATGGATGAAGAAGTTCAGGCTCTCCGTGCTAACCATACTTGGGATCTTGTTCCATGTCCTCCTAACGCCAATATTGTGGGTTCCAAATGGGTTTTCCGCACTAAATATCTATCTGATGGCTCCATTGACCGTCTCAAAGCTCGACTTGTTGCTAAAGGATATACTCAGCTCCCTGGTCTTGATTATACAGACACTTTCAGTCCTGTTGTCAAGGCATCCACTGTTCGTGTTGTTCTCTCTATTGCTGTCACCAATGGTTGGTCTCTACGTCAACTTGATGTCAAGAATGCATTTCTCAACGGTCTTCTCAATGAACCTGTCTATATGGAGCAACCTCCTGGTTATGTTGATCCTCGCTTCCCTACCCATGTCTGCAAACTCAAAAAGGCGCTCTATGGCTTAAAGCAAGCCCCTCGTGCTTGGTTTCACCGGTTTAGCTCATTTCTTCTGAAGCTTGGTTTCTCTTGCAGTCGTGCTGACACTTCTCTATTTGTCTTCTGTCGTCAGAAGAATCTTCTCTACTTACTCCTTTATGTGGATGATATTATCATCACCGGCAACAATCCATCTCTCCTCAGCAGCTTTGTTCGACAGCTTCACTCTGAGTTTGCTACTAAAGATTTGGGCTCGCTTAGCTATTTTCTTGGTCTCGAAGTGACTCCTACTTTTGGTGGTCTTTTCCTCAGTCAGACCAAGTATGCTCGTGATATTCTAGTCCGGGCGCAACTTCTTGATTGCAAACCTGTTGCTACCCCTATGGTCGTGGCTCAGCGTCTCTCTTCTGATGGCCCCGCTTTTGCTGATATTTCTCTCTACCGCTCTCTTGTCGGTGCCTTGCAATATTTGACTATCACTCGGCCTGACATTACTCATTCTGTTAATACAGTCAGTCAATATTTGCATGCACCCACAGACGACCATTTTCAAGCTGTCAAACGTATCCTTCGTTATGTCAAAGGAACACTTCATTTTGGCTTGAAGTTTACTACCTCATCCTCCACTGGTATTGTTGCTTACTCCGATGCTGATTGGGCGGGCTGTCCTGACACTCGTCGCTCCACTTCAGGCTATTCTATTTACCTTGGTGACAATCTTGTCTCTTGGAGTGCTAAGAAACAACCCACTGTCTCTCGCTCCAGTTGTGAGTCTGAGTATCGTGCTCTTGCCCTTACTGCTGCCGAGGTTCTCTGGTTAACGCATCTCCTTCGTGATCTCCATGTTCCTACTACTCATCGCCCTCTTCTTCTGTGTGACAATAAGAGTGCTGTCTTCTTGAGCTCTAATCCAGTCTCTAACAAGCGTTCCAAGCACATTGATCTTGACTACCATTTTCTTCGGGAACTTGTAGTGGCTGGCACTATCAACACTCAACATGTCCCCTCAAATCTCCAAGTTGCAGATGTTTTCACCAAGAGTGTCTCTCGGTCTCTCTTTGTGTTTTTTCGCTCCAAACTTCGCGTCTGCTCTAATCCCACGCTCAGCTTGCGGGGGGTGTTGAGGATTCCAGAGAATCCTCCTCTGATTCTCAGTCATTGCCGTAATTGTAGTAGTTGACCCATGATTGTAGAGATGCTATATTTATAATTGTTTTCCTTTCTTGTTGTACAGCTGTATATGTATGTTTATCTCTATAAATGGAAAACCATCTCCACCGTTTCACAGTGTGGTGGATTGACAAACATTCTCACTTTGTCTAAAAGATTATTTTTGAATGTTACTGTTTACCTTTTCATAATTTCCTATCGTGCAATAAATTTCATGCATATATGTTTCTGCTTGGGGAGGACAATATTTTTTTTGGTTCACTTAATATATTTCTAGCTTGACATTTATGAGTAATCATTTTCTATTGTATTTTTATGCTAATAATTTTCCCTCATGCAGTTTGTGCTGACAAGATTCAAGTATGGACCTGCACGATACTGGGCAATTTTGTTCATCTTCTGGTTTCTCGTGTTTGGGATATGGGCGTCTAGAACCCACGGTGCTCATGCAACATGATTCCTTTTCCTTTCTTTTTCCTTTTTAAAGATAACTCGATGCACATATCCAGTATTTTCTTTTACCGATTTATCTATCAGTTAAGCGAAATAATACTTTATATAGGTGTATTTAGTGAAAATATGATTTGTGTACGGTTTGTTGTACTTGCTCGTTCATAGAACAAGCTTCTCGTAGGAGGTTTGGGGTGATATGTGGCTGTCGAACTATAAACTTGTGTTAGTTATTACTATAATGTTGTTAAAGATGACTTATTTCTATGTATGAGAATTTTATTTGATTTTGTTTACTGTGGTACATATCCTTTCAATTTAATAGTCGAATTACATTCCAGTATATGGTTATGTCTTCTGGAAATTAGAAATCTCTTTTTCTCTGCTGTTGCCATTCAAATTTGTCTAGAATCGTACAAACTAAATACAAGGTGACTTTTACTAGAAAAAAACTCAGATCCCTTTTCGATTTTCTTGTAGTGGGAGATGCATTAAGAGAAAAATGACTTGCGCGTGTAAATAACACACAGTGTTTACCTTGTCATCTAAGCTTGCTAAAGGCTTAACTAATCATTTAAATGCTAGCTTCAACATGTTCTTCCATGCGGAGAGATTCAAGTCGAAAACCCAAGTTCGAGTCTCTACATCTATTGGAGTATTGTGTAAATATATCGAAAATAAATCTGACATGCATGTAAGGATCGTGTTGAAGACAAGATTATATTAACACAGCATCTCCCTATCTTCAGCATATCCAGTGGCTAGGAGATGGAGGGGAAAATTTACCCCACATCCCCGAGCTTGTGAGGATGGATCATGCAAATACCAGGTTGTCTGAAAATGATATAACCTCAGTCGAAAACATGTACTGCAATGCAAGTGAAAACCGTACGTACGTACATGGTAGCGACTACGAAGATCAATATTGATGCCTGGGGTTTAATTTACAGCAACAGTTATCATTGTGTTTTATACAAGCTAAACAGTTATACTACAACAGTATTCATCATGATTTATAACGACGTGCTTTATACAAGCTAAACAGCTGTACTATTAGTCTAATCCTTAAATCGCTTTACAAGATTCCTTGTCGCGTAGTAATGCTCTACCCCACCTTAGCGATTCGCCGATTTCCCTTGGGCCTCGTACAGCAGATTGCATGTTGAAATAAAGGCAGCTCAAGAAAATCAATTCATTCTTCTCCGATTGATCAGAGGCCAGTTAGATTTCATGTTGCCAAGCTCTGGGATCTTGATTCCATGAATGCATCTGTTTACAAAAAATTAGTAGTATATTGTGCTAAGATTTGATATACTACACAGACAACATACAAAATAATGAATAAGATTTTAACTTAATTTCCCTCTTTAATCTTGTCGAGCCTTGTGTAGTCTAGCATACTAAACATGTCACAACATCTTTAAAATTACTAGTTGGACTAACTTACATTGTTAATACGGTCTTGATTTGTCGTGGAAGAAAATATTTTTACTCATGGGAGATCTGGATCAAGAAAAAAGATAACAGACTATGTCCTATATATACCCAACAGAAAGTGCAACTATTTCTTCTGCCATCTCTTAAATCTAATCAAATACGATAAAAGTTGGAATGCAAATATATTTGAAAAATCTCTTACCCAACTCATTTTCTAATATTTATACATAGTAAGAGCAGAGAAAATAATGACACGGTCGATCCAGCAGCAGAAATTCTGTTAATGTCTTTCGCAGTTTCCAAGCAATCAAAAATTGTGTTCATGTTGCCTTGTCATTCTAACTTTCAGAAATTTCCGTAGAAAACCATGCAGTCTGCTGAAATAACTATATATTTCTTCTCTCAGTTCAGCCTCTTTTAGGCCTCCCCAAGACAGGAAGCTTAATTATCATCAGAGAGCTCCCATAGTAAAGAATAAAAATGCGAAAAGCGGGATGCGTTACTGATGTTCCTCCACTCAGCCTCCCTTGGTAGAGCGAGATTGTTCCATATGTACTAAACTTTATCTTCAAGAATTAATATCATAAACCTGATGAATCAATCAAGACCAACGCCTTTTTTACCTTCATGAACTAATACTACGATTGTCTTGCGGTGTGTTTGTGAGTGAGGAATCCAAAACTAGATAGGATTGGAATTGCTGATGCAACTTTTCACATGGTTTAAACTTTCATTCTACTTAAAAATCAACTGCATCAAGGAGTCCCTTCTACGGGGAAAGGAATATCACAAGGTATAACACTAAAGAAAGGTAGATCTTACATAAGATGCTTGTAATGACATTCCAAGAGCAATTTCCTAAATAATATCAGCAGAACTTCTCCAAATAGTTGCAAATTCAAGCGATACTTTCAATGCTTAAAAATGCGAGGAAAAAAAAAAAAAAGAGCTAAATTTTCATAGGCTTAAATACTTCTACCAGCTTAAATTTCCATTTCCATTGGGAAGATCTATAGTGTTACACATTTTATTGGTACCGAACTTTCTATACAAGTACACCGGCCTATCAACAGAATCTTTAAACGATTGGTTATTAGTATTAGTCTTGGAAAGGGTCCATCCCATTCCAAGCAGAGCCTTAGAAAACCCATCCATTGAGTGTATTCTCTCGCCAGTGATTCTTGAAAACAAACAACTTGAGGTGCAATCCCAGTTGTTAATGTTCAAAGACTCGATTTTTTCAAGTGGGCTGTGATTATTTTTCAAGAAAACCAGCTTGAAGAAGCCTCTGGACAGATTGACAAAGAGGCGCATGTGGGACATGGACGCTGTGGTCAGAGATGGGAATGGCAATGGAGCGGCGTCGTTTCCCAATGACCATGAACACGATGGCGGATGGCCATGAGAAGATGATGTGTGAGAGAGATGGGTTTGGGTGAAGATCCATGCCAATTTCTCAGGCAAGTTTGGCTAATCTGTATGTGTCTTTTACCAATTCTTGGGTGGGATTGAAAAGCATTAATGGGAATTTGGTTCTTGATTTGGGGATATTACTGCTATTGAAATTAGTGTCATCAACATCTTTATGGTGATTATTGTGATTAAAGAAAACCTGATTTTGGGGAAGAAGAAGAGGGTTGGTATCAGAAAGAACCAGTGAGCGAACCAGCTTCAATGGCAGCATACTCCCCCTATCTCTCCCTCCCTGAGTATTTTTATGTTCTTATTTTAGAAAGAAGAATTTCAACATTTGAGCTCCCGAGTTTTATTTGAGCACAAAAGTTGACACACGATTTTAGTTCAAACTTCAGAAAATCGGAGCACAAGAACAAATGAGAGGTCATCTATGGCGTAATTTCAAAACTACACTTGCTACTTGGAGTTTGATTCTTGAGAAAATGAAACTAGTGCACATTACAAATTAAATAAAAAAGAAAAAGAAAATGATTGCTCTTATGTACGTGTTACTCGAATGATCATTTTTTCTTTTTTTTTTTTAAACGTTTTAATGAATGCGATTTGAATCTTATTATATGTAGTTCAAATTTTATTTTTTGTTCACGATTGATGCATTTCTTTCCATCCAGGCAGATTAAGAACCTTTTTTTTTTGTTAGTAATACATTTTGTTGTTAGATAGAGAACGAATCAATTTTGTTTTTTGTTTAGTAATAAATTGTAATGTAGTTCAAAATTAAATAACAAATGAAAAAGAAAATGATTATTCTTATATACATGTTCATTCGAATGATCATTTCTCTCTTTTAAACGTTTTAATTAATGAATGCTACCTGAATTTTACTATATGCAGTTCAAATTTTATTTTTCAAGCATCCCCTTCCATCCATGTAGATTATGATCTATTTCTTCGAAAAGTTTAAGATGTTAGATAGAGAATAACGATTTGTTTACATTTTTCCATCAAAAACTCCGCGCATTCACAAGCAGTGTCCAAGCAGAGTATTGAATGTAGTACAACAACAAAACTCAAAAAGGGACAAAAGCAAAGCCTGATCCAACATGGAAGTGTGAATTCTTGACTTTGCTGTCATTGCCTAATCTGCAGTGCAAACACACTCTTACCCCGGCCCTCAACACAGGTTACAGAAGGAATTTGTTTCATTTATATTTACAGAGGAATATCAGTATGCTACAATAAAATACCAGATCAAGAAAAAAACAAAATAAAACTAATGCTCGATCCTGATCGCATACGAATATTCTACTGTCACAAGCACAAATAATATACTCTGTGCATTGATTGTGACTACGAGCTAAACTAGCCAATCTCCACGGCTCGTCCCAACCGATCCATCGAATTCAAGTAACCGGATCCACCACCAAGATGCTACACTGGATTGCATCACTGGTCTTGTTGTTACACTTTGACCATCTCCTATTAGTGAAACATCATTCTCATAAGCATATTGTTCTCTGTCCATCCTTCTTTTTCTTTACTTTTTTTCCGAAAATATATGGGCATGTTTGGTGACAGAACTGGACATACTATTCAGTGAAGTTGAGTTAATCAACCTTGGCAAACATGTCATCTAATGGACGTACATGATTGGATTCTACATCTAATTAGAAGGGCTCCTGCGTGTACATGAACACATTATCGAACAAAGAAAACTGATCATTGTACTGCATTTGAGAAGTGAAAGGATCATATTGGAAGTCATCCTTGCAATTAAGCTGATAATCAAGGGGTTTCTCGAAGCCATTCCATGTTGGTACGCTTTGGACTTCCTTATCGCCCATGAACTCGGGTGATAACGCATGCTCAGAGCTACTCGAGTCAGTATGTAACTTGAGGACTGATTCAGACGCTTCAGAATGCAAGTAGTTATTCTTCACTAATTGCGGTTCTAGGGCCGGCTGAACTTGGGTTACCTTCCCATTATATACGAAACCATCCAATTTCGGTTTCTGCTCTTCACTATCTGAAAATTGCAACGTCTTCTGATCAACATTGTAATGCTTTTCAAGAGTCCCTTTCTTGTTGTATAGTCGGCACAACACCCAATCATCAAGCTGCCATAGCACAAGAAATAAGAATATTAATGCCTTGTGTGTCAGGTATGCAGTATTGGACAAAATTGAACAGAACAAATAACCATAAATCGAGCTGCTAAGAGAGATAATTTCGGATTGCCAATCAAAAAGTTTCAATTTCTGCTCCTAAAAGTTCAAGAAATCAAAGAATGATTAGAGTTAGTACCCTCAAATTGTTTTTCTTCCCGGCAGATCTGTCGACATTGGCTAGGCGGTATTCATGCATAATCCAGTTGGTTTTGACACCTCTGGGAGCTTTCCCAGCATAGAACACCAAAGCCTTCTTTATACCCTGTGGCTTTGGCTTCCCCACCGGCTTATCAGCTCCGGTGGCCTTCCAGTACCCCGTCCGAGCCGCCCGGTTGGGCCGTGAACCATTTGGGTACTTCCGGTCTCTTGGAGAAAAGAAGTACCACTCTTTTTCACCATACAAAGCCATACCTGTTTTTCACAATTAATAATGTTCAGATATCAAATAAACTCCATTCAATTCCAAAATTGTTCCTCATAATTATTTACCAAGATTTATATCATTCTGATTATTGAAAAAACTAAAATTAAATATCATATAAAATCAATAAGAAATTGAAAGATAACCCAGAAACAGAAAAGGAAAAAATATATATATACCAGGAAGATCCCAAGGGTCAAATTTATAAAGGTCGAGGTCAGCTATAATTGGGACGGCGATTGGCTGCCCGGCACATTTACGGCATAGATAATGCACCACCAGCTCCTCATCCGTCGGATGGAACCGAAACCCCGCCGGTAAATGCAACTGTTGGTCACCACTGTTCATTCGCCTTTTTCTCTTAAAACTTTCTTTGATTTTCTCAAAGTTTCCGAAGTGAAAAGGCTGTCTGAATTCTGAAACGTATAATTTGGAACCTCAACGTTCCTTTATATAAGCAGGGCATGTACTGTGTTTCTCGTGGGGTATTGCATTTTGTCCCCGTATGAATATTCACAAAAAAGATATTTGCGTGGCGGGGGCTGCGGTCGTGGGGGGTGCTGGTGGAAGATATCGATGAACTAATCATGGGACGCCACGTGGAAAAGATGTCACTGCTTCCGTCACTGGCAATTGGGAAAGTCGGCGAGACTGGGTTGGCTGAGAATATCAGTAAAGCGAATCAAGAAAAGTAGCAAATCCAACCCTACGTCCCTACTTCAGTTCACACAATTGTCCCAACCCAATATTAATTTCAAGATCGTCGACTCGCAATCGATAAAGTTTGACAGTATAATAGATAAAATTAATCTTTAATTCTTTTTTTTTGATCGAGCACTATTCTTCAAATTCTCTTAAACTTTTAGGAGACGTTTCACGATTCGTGCCTTGGGCACGGCTTAGATCAAAACTTCTTGATCATCGATACTATATGGACACAAGCTCGATAGCTTAAATCAAATCAAAAAGGTAAATTTCATCGGGATTTTTAACATTTTTTATAAGTGTGACATTCGTATTTCCAACGTACTATTTATTATATTGACCTCTTGAAACAATAGGCCTATGTCCCGGGCTAAAAGAAAAAGTTTATTTGAACGTTAAATAATCATGTGATACTCGTATCATGTCAGAGTAAATTGTACAAGATGGTTTCTTTTATTCCATAAGCCAGCCGCATCAATTCCCTTAATCTGTTTTCTTCCCATGATTTTGAGGACGACTTCAACTTGCATTTAAAACACATATTCGATAAATTATCACGGTTCATGAACTTCTTTTTTGTTAGGTGCAGACATACATGTTCCAATTTGAAAATGCTAAAGATATGAAAACAATATATCGTAGAGAACATAAATGTCACACTAGAAAAGATCGATGACCTTTGGTGAAATCTTTACCCACTCGAAGAATCACGTTCGTCACGAAGGTGCAACGTGCTTTGAAAAATAAGAAAAAGAGAGAGTGGAGTATGGTGGAATGCTTGGACTATTTTTGGAAGGATTTTGTTGACACGTCATTACAGTCTGAAGGCGTCATCCACTTTACGTATTTCACGTGGACATTTATCAATTAGGAAAAAATGTTTTTGTCAAAATTAATTAGTGGTTGGCGGCTGGATTTTTCAATTTCTTCCAATTTTTATTTATGTTTTGACATTGAACCATTTGGGCTTGAAGAAAAATATCGTCCTGTCTTTTCGAATAAGGGATTCTTATCCTCATTTTGAACTTGCAAGACAAAATTAGATTTTGTTAAAATTTAAATTTTTAATAAATTTGGATAAAAGTTAATGATATATATGATTAAAAAATTAATAAAAGTTCTAAGTCCACACGTGTTGTTGCATAATTTTAATCCCAAAATGGAATTTATTCTTAAGTTATAGAAATGCCGGTATCAAGGTTTGGATTCTAATTGAGGTAGTTGTGGTGATGGTGTGCAGAGGAGGGTTTGGGGTTTTCTTGTTGGGGGTGGTGATTGTGGTTGTGGTGGAGATGAAGATGGAGATTGTGATTTTTTATGGTGGTTTTTGAGGTAGTTTTGTGATGGATTTTGAGGTGGTGGGAGTACTGGCGATGGTGGTGTAGGTGGTGGTTATGGTGTTGGATTTGAATAAATATGGTTTGTAACTAATAAATTGGGTTAATATATAACCAATAAATAATTTGTCATCAATATATATAATAGATAATTTGTGACATTGATGCAATGACATGTAATCTGTGCACAATGGCCTATGACACGTGACTTGATAACATGTCACGTGTCTTTGTGTAATCGTTATACGTCACAGATCAAATATAATTGATCACAGATCACTAATTTATATTCATAAGTCAATATTAATTGGTCATATGTAGTTTACAGGTAACATGTCATTATTCACAAATTACATATCATATTATTAGTTCACAGCTTTTAATATGTTAATATTAATTGATCAAATGTTATAATTCACATGTTACATGTCATTATGAAGAAGATGATCAGTCGTCGACGATCTCTATAAATTTTATCTTTCCTCCGACGAAATTATTTCGATAGCGATGATTGTGAGTGCATGTTGGCGAGTGACAGATGTGGACGACTGTAAGAGGAGATTGTGGCGGGGTGGATGTCATGACTGTGGTCGGACCGGAGAGAAATTAATATTATTTTGCAAATAATTATTAGATTGTTGTTGCATCATCGATTTGTTGTTGAATATTGTTGTTTTGTTAGCTTTTTGTTGAATTTTTAGCTGTAGCATTGGTTAATTGTTGATGTATTGCCAACAGTCCAATTATACACAAAGAAAAGGAAATATTCCGTGGCATTTTCGACATACCGACATTGTAACACGTTGATTTATCACCGTTTCAACCTCCTAACTAAATTCCTGAATCGGCCTATGATCAAATCAATAAAAATACTCGAGTTCAACGCTTGTTTGATATAATTTTGCTAAACTTCAAATTTAAATACATTTCATGAGATTCGAATTTTTATCTTTAAAACCATATATTTTATTAACTTTTATAAAAATTTATTAAAAATTTGATTTTGATCTCCATTAAACGGGCTTCTTGGATAATAAAAGGTAAAGAAAACTTTGTTTGGTTAGTGACTGCTTACATAAGCATGAGTCATTTGTGACGCTAGCCTTGCACATCTTTAAAATTAATGTTCATTATTTCAAATAAAAGTAAAAGAAAAAACAGATTGTCTGTTGCTTGTCTCCATCAAATTTATTACACAAGGTTGGAAAATTTTACTCACAATTAAATATGAGAAATATTTTACAAATATAATTTTATGCTTTAAAACCTAAGTTGGATAAGTTCTTTTCACATGAATGCATCATTTTCAATTGGTTCCTGATAATACCTATAGAAATCGAGTCGTAGAAAAGTGTTCCCCAATGTTTTGATGAGTTGAGAAGAGGATGGAGTACTGTCTTCGATTCTCTTTCAGACTTACAGCGTAAAGGTCTATAATTTTTTGATATAGAAATATTGTAGTCACCCTTTAAACTTTAGAAAAAAAATGTGTATCAAGGAAAAAAGGGGGGTGGGGTGGGGGGGGACTATTTCATTGCTTAAGCAACTTGTAAGCACTTAAGGGGGGGGGGGGGGGGGGGGACTATTTCATTGCTTAAGCAACTTGTAAGCACTTAATAATCATTCCCCCCATCCACCCAAAAATAAAAATAAAAATAGAAAATGCAATTTACAAAGGAGATTTGCATGAGAGAGAAGACAAGAGCACTATTGTATAAGTGCCACTTTGCGCAACTGAATTGTGACCAAAGCCAACTCTCTTTGTAATAAGTTTCATGTTATTTTATTGCTTTGGACTTTGGTTGGAAAAGACCAATGTATCATCATTGCAAACAACTCATGCCAATCTCAACTTGTTAATTAAGTTTTTAGTTTCTATTGATACACACACCCCAAAGAGGAAGAGGGAATGGTATTGACATGGGCACAACCCAAACCCTTTGGTTATATAGAATTATATTAATTGGTGCGTACAAAACTAACAAATGAATGATTGGAGGACCAATGTTAGTAGCTTTTGAGTAAAGCTTCTGATTCACATCAAAGGTCAAAGGAAAAAACTCAAACTGAATCAACATTTCTTGGAACTAGAAGTACAAAGTGGAGACACCACTAAAATGAATGATGAATTGTTGGGGTCGCTTTTTAAGCTTTGAAAAGGGTCGAGTTAAAAATATACATATACATATATGTGTGAAAGTGTGCGTCCACCAAAAAAATTTAGAAAAAAGCTGTAGGTACATGAAAAAAACAGAATTTGTACAGGAATTTGAATTCCACTCACATGGGAGACAGACGTCATGTGAATTAAATATTGCCAAAAAAATCGGAGCCCACTTGTTTATGTGTATTATGTCCGGCCTCTATGGGTACTTTTCCTGTACCCATAGCATTGCTCAAAATTTTAGAACTCCAAGTCTAGGTCTTCTTGAAAGAGTAGTGTTACAACCTCGTTCCACGTGAATGCCACATGCAAGTCATCCCAAATTCAAAAGCAACATGTCACAAATGCCCACAACACCATGAGCAACCCAAGCAAATGTGTGAACCTTCACATGACGCATTCAATCCACATTAGCGAAGCAAGGTCAACGACCCTGCTTGCCAAAGATGGAAAAGGCTCTATGAGGGAATTTGTTCCCCAGCAAACCGCGTGGCTAGGGGAAACAAAGCGAGCTTAACGCCTTAACCCTTGCCATGAAATATATGGAAAATGGTGAGCCAAATTTCCTTGCAAAAGATTATTGAAAGGAAGTTAATGAAGCACTAAACATGTGAAGGAAAATATATGAAATCAAATATGTAACCAAATCTATGTGCAATTTATTTCTCTTGTGCTTATAGCTTATTTTTTCTAGCACTAACTTCATCGTCAGTATGCAAACGGTAGTTGAACCACCTTCTTAGATGTCTACCTTTGCATTTTCATGGTTCTTTGAGTTAAGGAACTGGTGGATGACAATGTGGTCAAGATCCTAAGAGATTCTGATATTGGAAAAAGATACAAGGAAAAGTGTGAGCATGCACACCTAGAAAAAAGAACGGACTAAAATTATAGCCTTAGGAGTGAGTAGAACACACTAAGTCTAAAACTCTTTTTTTTTTTCCAACTCATTTTCAATCACAAATTTTTCCAATAAAATAATTTTACTTTTTCTACTTTTTAATTACACATTCTCCAAAAAAAATCTATTACAAAAAATGGGGTCAAACATACCCTGAATTGGACAATTGATTACATTAAGTTACAATTAGTACTTTGAAAACTTCTAACTTAAATAAATGCATAGTCCCCAACTTGAACTAAATAAATGTAGTCTTGTCTTTTGTTATTGAGTCTTGTTTTTTGTTATTGTTGCATGCTTGTGTGTTTAAAAAAAAAAAAGAACTTCCTTTTTTTTTCCTTTTTATGTATTTTTGCATGCTTGTATGGGTCGGATAATCTGCTAACAATGATGTATATGTTGGAATATAGAGTTGGACTATGAATTATGGATAAGTTATATGTTAAGTAAGTTTGTGCCTATTTATGTGGAATTTGATATTTTTTAGCACAAGATTTATGTTCTACATTGTGAAGAAACAAATTTGATTCATATTGTTGAATAGGTTAAAAATAATGTACCATAGATGCATAACCTGAACAACCATTATATTATACATCCTTAAACCAATTTTAGATAATTTGTGGGTGATTGAGCTGTTGTAGGGAAAAATGGAGATATATGTGGATTCCATGTGTGCTAAATTTTGTATGGATTGTCTAAGACTAATAAACTGAAAATTAGGTTTGAATCTTAAGTTGATTGTTGATTTTTGAGAATGGGTGTTCATTAAGGGGCATTGTACGGATCATAAAAGAAAGAGAGAAAAATTTGCATAAATAAACAAATGAATGTTGTTGTTGTATTGTGAAGTTTCTCTTTGTAGCCTTTATTACTCGAGTGATTAAGCCTGCAAGAGTCTCTAAAAAATTGGTGCCCTATGGTCATCTGATTTGAAAGTCATCGACGGAAAGCTCACTACAAGAGTCATTTAGAAAGCTTAATAGAGAGGAGTTGGCACGGTAAATAAAAAAAAGAATTTTTTTTTTCTACATGTCTTGATTTAGCCTCGAACACTCATTTGATAGAATTTGACTTTTGACGAGAGATTATTAGCTTAATTGATTCTTAGAGGTTGAAGCAATAAAAAATAAGGAGAATTCGCATCTATTGACTTGTTGAGCTGCAATTAGCAAAAATAAAACCAAACTAGAGAGGGTGAGGGTGAGGATTAGTATTATATCACAAAATCAACCTTAGATTGAACATTGGGAAAATAGTGAAAAGAATTAAGTTTGGGGGTGTGTATCTACGAGCGAAGAAAGGAAATATATAGCCATAAAGGGTCGAGAATTGAATCAATTTATGACTTTGTAATGCTTTACATGAATCCTCACACACACATGTCGGTTTTGCATTGAATAGGTAGAGATTGATTTAGCATTGTGATTTTGAAATAGTTTATAGTTTCAACTCTGAAAGTCCAATCCTGGGGGTAAAAGCAGATTATCCAACCAGATTAATTTGAAATTTTTAATTTTTTGTAGTTAAACTTTATTTTGTTTGAAGACAAACAATTGATCAAGTTTGGGGGTATTTTATAAGTGTATTTTATACACTTATCTGTATCGTTAAATTCGAGTAATTATTGTTATTTTAAATGAATGGAGGCTTAATTTTGTATATATTTTGTTTGTTAGGTGCATTTTGATGAAAAATCATGGAATTGAAGAAAAGAGGCAGAAAATTGGCTAAAGTGGACCTAATCCAAAGTATGAGGACTAAATCACAAAATGATAATAGATGATTCAGTCCTAGTATCGATGACTAGAGAGATGTTGGAGTCAATTAGACGAAGTTGGAAGATGGAGGGTCAAGAAAATACAAAAAAGGAACCAAAATAAACAAAGAATGAAATTCGGGGACCAAAGTGCAACAATTGGAAGATTTTATGCCTGCTCACGCGCACAGGCTTAGTTTTTATCAACCGAGAGAAAACGAATTGAACGGCGCGCGGGCAAAGGATAACACGACGCGCGCGCACAGGCTAATTCTGGGCCTAAACGTTCTAATTTTCTAGCTTTACCCAAATTCCTATAAAAATCAAATTTAACCTACTTTCTAAGGGGGTGAATGGCGTGAACGACTCAGAGGATATCAAATCCTAAATTTCATCAAAAAAAAAGAGGCAAGCACAAGATTCAAATGCGATTATCACAAGAGATTGAAGATTCAAAGTTCGGATTGAAAAAATACAAAGAAGAAATTGAGTTTTCACCTTTCATTCATTATTTTTCATTTCGGGTGATTTTTTCCAAATCTTATCTTGTGATTTTCATATCAATATGCTAGGCTAAGTTTATTTGTATTGGATGGATGATGAAACTACTTGATTTCTAGTTTTTTAATTCAAGACTTGTGAATTTTAGTTAATTCTTGCGTTGTGATTTTATATACACGTTTTTTCATTTTGTTTTAATACTTGTGCACCATTAAAACAATGAGTTGCTTATTCGTAGTGTTGAAAAACTCACGATAGATAGAACACTATATATGAAACACATGAAAAATAAATATTATGAATAATATTTGTGAAGTGTGCGATCGCGTGTGATAATCTTATGTTTTAATACATGTTTATCATATGAATGCGGACTGGAATATGATCTTGTCGTGGTGAACATATGTTTATTATATCTTGGAAAAAAATAATAAATAAAAGTGGAATTATCGATCGTCACGAATGCAAGGATTGAATTAATTATCACAAGTCGAGAATTGAATTCTACAGTAAAGTAGTTGATTCGGAAATCCAATACTTTCATCCACACTTGATTTAAAAACCACTTTTTTTTTTCTTTTATTGCTTTCATAGTCACAGAACGTAGTTAAATACAAATCAACAATCTTTTATTATTGTTACGAATTCAGATACATCAGATACACTAGAATTGAACCTTATTCCCTGTGGAACGATAACTCACTCATCATAATTATTACTTGTACAACGAACCCGTACACTTGCAAGAATATTTTGCGAACAGAAATTGTGAAAATCACTTGCCTCAGATTGTTATTATTCTTATTCTTCCATTCTTGGTTTTAATTTTTCGTTTGTAGTTTACTAATACTTTTCCAACCCATATTTATAGTGTTTAATCACGCTCCTGTGGATTAAACTTTGCTTTTTGTTTGTTCGATATACAATAACCCTTTCACCCGTACTTATATTTAGCAAATGTCGCCAACAATCTTAAGACAAAATTTTGTGTATGTGATTGTTGTTAATCTTTTCTCTTCATCTTTTGGAATACACATTCGTGTGATATTCCCTTCTTTTGATTTATTTTGCGTTGAAATTATATTTATGCTGCAGAAATGACATCTATTGAGGTTACTTTAAGTCAAAATGGTTCAAACAATATGGTTCCACCATTGGCTATACCACTTCAAAATACTACAATCCCGCATGGGAAAAAATCGAAAAAGTTTGGCGATGTGGACTTCAAGAGATGGAAACAAAAGATGTTCTAACTTACCACTTTAAACTTGACAAAGTTTCTAAAAGAAACTACACCGGCGGTACAAGAAGGAGATAATAATCGTGAATCGATTATTGCTTTGGATGCATGGAANAATAATCGTGAATCGATTATTGCTTTGGATGCATGGAAGCACTCAAACTTTTTATGCAAAAACTATATCCTGAACGGATTGGACAATACACTATATGGAGTATATAGTTCGAAGAGCTCGGCCAATGAACTGTGGGATTCTTTGGAGAAGGAATACAAGACCGAGAATGCTGGAACTAGGGGTGGGTGTGGTTTGGGTTGGGTCGGGTCAATTTTTCCCCCAACCCAAACCCAACCCAACATGGTCGGTTTGGCATAAATTCAACTCAACCCAAGTAAAGATTGAAACCCAACCCAACCCAACCAAATGTCAGTCGGGTTGGGTTGGGTTGGTCGGTTTGTGACGACCTATCAACAAATATTGTATGTAAGCACGAAAAGGCTGTTAAAAACTGCGAATGTTTATGAGACACTAACAGCTTCCTACGAGAGGCCCAACCAGGATGAGCTTCAAACTGAGATGGACTGACCTGCTCATAACAGATGAACGGGGTAAATACTTTTGGTTGAACATTAGGGAATCTGAACCTAAGAATGAATAATTATACCAGGATGTTGCAGCAATGGCAAACTATTACCGATCCCATTTTATAACCATCACGCAATTTCTGTTAATGGACATCAGAAAATTACATTACTGAAAACTGTAAAAAGAGCATACTGCATGTAGAATTATTTGAACTACCTTTCCATGAGAGTAGTAAGCTACTTCAGTACCATCAGGCAATCCACTATCTTCAAAAACCAGCTTGTACATCCTCTGGTCTCTGTATAAAATAATATTAGAAACCATGATATTTCATAACGCGTCGAAGTAAAAGGAAATAAAAATAACATGTAGAATCGTGAAATATCATGGTTTTCCAGAACCCACAAAGAGAACAACACATCTACATGTTTTATCAATTTCTTGAACCACAGGCATTTTGCATATTTCCAATCTAGAGTTTTATTCAAAATAATGGGTTTTCCACAAAATAGGATAGAATTTATGAATTCCATCAACTCCAATAATCTTATCCATCACTCAGATCAAAGTCATAATTTATATTAAACTTATTAAAGCATATTCACGAAACCCATGTATGGATCTCAAGCAGTAAAAATATCCCAAAAATCACAACAATGTTCTAATAATAGCTCAGCTAAACCAAACCCCAAAAAAATTTAAAAATAAATTCATATTTTGCAACATAATCAAGGAACTCATAATAGGGATAACACAATCAAGAAACCAAAGGTCCAAAAAATAAAGATAAAAGTTAAAAAATCACAAATTCAAATAAAATCTAAAGATTCAAATCAGAATCAGATTCCCAATTGTGAAATTACACAGAAGACATTAATCGAGAAGGAAACTCACCTATTGAGCCCTATAAACCAAAAATTGAAACGAGATCTAGAATCCTCATCTCGCCGGTTTATCTCATAGGTTTGGACGATTTTTTTGGTTCAACCTGCAACCCAACCCGCCTTTATCACACCAAACCCGAACCCAACCAAAAAAATGGAAAAAATCGACCCAAACCGATCGGTTCGAGTCGGGTTGGGCGGGTTGAATGGGTTGGACGGTTTTTTGCCCAGCCCTAGCCGAAACTAAGAAGTTTATAGAAGACAAATTTTTGGATTACAAGATGGTGGATTCCAAAACGGTAATTAGTCAAGTGCAAGAACTTCAATTTCTGTTACATGGCATCCATGCCGAGAAAATGGAATTGAGTGAATCTTTCAAAGTTGCGGCCATCATTGAAAAGTTCCCTCCTATGTGAATAGACTTCAAAAACTACCTCAAGTATAAACACAAGAAAATTAACTTGGAAGAGTTGATTGTCCGCTTGAGGATCGAAGAAGACAATAGGAAATCTGATAGAAGACCTATTGTCCAAGTTGGAACAAACTTTGTTGAAACCAACTCGAAGGTTGTCAACAAGAAGCAAAAGTGCTCCGGTGAGGCACCGCGAAGAGACAACTCCAAGAAGGCCAAAAAGTTCAAAGGAAATTGCTACAACTGTGGAAATGCTAGATATCCTCAATTGAATGTCAAAAATCAAAGAAGAATGCACATGCTAACATAGTTGAAAGAGACGCCATTTATGAAGGAATGCAAGAGATGAATTTATCTGCAGTTATTTTCGAGTGTAACCACGTTGGAAACTCAAGGGAATGGTGGGTTGACACTGGTGCTACTCGTCGTGTGTGTGCAGATAAGTAGATGTTCTCAAATTATCAAAAAATTAGATAGAGAACAACTCTTCATGGGAAACTCTGCTAGTTTCAAAGTTGAAGGATAGGGAAATGTCACTTTGAGGATGACATCCGACAAAGAACTCGTCCTCAACAACATCCTACATGTGTCGGACATACAGAAGAATCTAGTGTCCGGATCTCTAATTAGTAAAACTAGTTTGAACTTGTATTGTATCCGATAAATTTATACTCACTAAGAATAAAATGTATGTAGAAAAGGGATACATGTATATTGAACTGTTCAAAATGAACGTTCTTATTATTATACCAAGGCAAATCATTATGAATAAAACCTTAAATTTCGTTTATATGCTTGAGTTGTCTTGTTTGTCGTATAGTCGATTAGGACATGTGAATTATAAATCTTTGTGCAAACTTATGAATCAAAGTTTAATTCCAACGCTTAATATCGATCATAATCATAAATGTGAAATGTGTGTTCAAGCAAAATTGACTAAAACACCGTTCCACTCAATTCAAATGAACACTATACCTTTAGAGCTAATATATAGCAACATTTGTGATTTGAAATATGTTCAAGCTAAAGGTGGTAAGAAATACTTTGTTACTTTCATTGATGATTGTACAAAGTATTGTTACGTCTTTCTTTTAAGAAGTAAAGACGAGGCGTTGGATGCCTTTAAGCATTAT